AATCATGCGATCGACGGTGGGCTCGGCGAGTAAGACCTCGGGAGGGATGTAATCGGGCGACCCGTAGCCCTCGCCGGAGTGAATGAAGTCGCTTCCGAAGAGGAAGTAGGTGAGACAGAAGACGACGGAGATGGCGGCGATGAAGGGACCGAAACCCAAAAACGAGGCAAATCCGAGCTTTAAAAGCTCAGCCGCGCGCGCTGGAAACCCCTCTAAACCTGTGGCGTCGAGATACTCCGTCGAGCGTCGAGCGTCAGTCGTCGAGTCGAGGGAAATCGACGTCTCCGTCTCGCCTCCGTCGTCGTCGCCGCGCGCGTTCGTCGTCGCCATGGCACCCACCCTCACTCTGCAGTGCCCTCGACCGCGCCAACTGGTCATCATCACCCATTCGCCGCCTCTCTTCCGCGTTCGCCGCGAACTTGGGCGCGTTTCCGCTCGCCGTTCGATCGAACGGATTCGTCGTCGTCGTCTCCCGCCGCGTCGCCTCCCGTCGTCGCAACTCCTCCGCGAACGAGCCCGAGAGCCCATCCGCGTCCCCCACGTCTTCACCACCGTCGCCCACCCCCTCGTCGCCGTCCGCCATCGCTCCGCGCGTCGTGGACGTCCTCCGAACGCCCGCGCGCGTCGACGTCCACGCGCGATCGATCCCACCCATCCGCGCCCTGCGCCTCACGACGCCTCCCTCGCGCGCGCGCGCGGGCACCACGACGCGCGTCGTCGTCGTTGTCGCCATCGTCCGCGCCCGAATCGCGGCGCCGCCGTCGTCGGCGTCGTCGACGCGTCGACGAATCCCGCGAGCACGTCGATGTCGTCACACCACCGCGTCATGGCGTCGACGGTGCCGTCGCGCATGCGCGCCGCGCTCTCGTGCGCGTCGACGCGAACGACGCGCACGCTGGACGACGTCGCGGTGCCGTCGATCGGGGCGCGAGAGGTCCTCGTGCGCGTGCGCGCGTGCGGGGTGAATCACATCGACGCGAACGCGGCGCGAGAGGGGTACGCGGTGGACGTCTACGCCGGACCCGCGAGCGCGCGACGACGGTGGACGCCGGGAAGAGAGTTTAGCGGTGAAGTGGTGGCGATCGGACGGGCGGTGCGAGGGGTGGGGGTGGGAGATGAGGTGTACGGCGCGACGCCGCCGACGAGCCGAGAGGGAAGCGCGGCGGAGTACGCGCGGACGCCCGCGCACGCGATCGCGAGGAAACCGAGAGAGATGACGCACGAGGAAGCGGCGGCGATTCCGTTCGCGGCGTTGACGGCGCATCGAGCGATGATGGTGTGCGGTGGGGCGAGGGGCGGGGAACGGGCGCTCGTGCTCGGCGGCGGCGGCGCGGTGGGGACGGCGGCGTGCGCGTTGGCGAAAGACGCCGGTTTGGAGGTCACGGCGACGTGCGCGGCGAGGGACTTCGATTTCCTGAGGAACGTCGTCGGCGTGGACGAGGTTGTGGATTTCAAGGATACGGGCGAGGGGTCGCTGCGCGCGCGCGCGAAGGCGGAGGAGTGGGCTCCGTTCGACGTCGCGGTGGATTGCGTCGGGACAAAGGCGACGAAGACGCAGGCGATCGAGCGTTTGAAGTATGGTGTTGGACGATACGTGACGTTACACGGGGATCTGGGGAAGAACGCGACGAACGACGGTGGAATGGTCGCGGGGGTCGCGCGCGCGCTCGGCGAGTACGCGAGGAAGAGGGCGCTCGCGCGGTTCCAACACGACGTCGGGTACGAGCAAGCCGTGATGCGGTTGGATCCGGATGCGATGGTCACTATCGCGCGCTTGGTAGAGAGCGGTAAGCTCAGGATTCCCGTCGGGGAAGTTTTAGGATTAGATGAGATGGAACGCGCGTACGATTTACTGCGCGATCCGAACGTTTTCGGTAAAGTTATCGTCAAACCGTGATGCTCAAATTTGTGATTTTAAAAGTTGGAAAAATGGGCGATCTCTCACCAACGTCCGCCGCGCTCCCAAGTGTACGCATCCTCCTTGGCCTGGTAACCCTTCTCGAGAACGCTCTCGATGTCTCGGCGGTCAGAGTCATCGAGATCGAAATCAAAAAGAGCGCGGTGGTCGTCGATGTGACTCGCGTTTCGCGCTCCGATGATGATCGCGGGCACCACCGGTGAGTCTAGAACCCACTTCGAGGCGACGTTCGAGATGCTCGCACCGCCGTGTTTATCGCCCACCGCGCGTAGCGTTTTCAACAAACTCTGGTACCACTCGAACCCCCCGACCTCTGCGAGGACGCTCGAGTACTTACGAAGGGACGAGGTGTTGATTCGGAACTCTCCCTTTGGTGCGTCGAGGTACTTATCCGCTAGCAAACCTCCGGCGACGACGCCGTACGGGAGCAAACCGATGCCCGTATCTTTGCAGTACTTCGTCATGTACTTTTCCGGACGTCGATCGAGCAGAGAGTATTGAATCTGGTTCGTCGATATTTCCGCCCCAGCATCCACCATCTCTCGCATGCGTTGCGTGTCGAAATTCGTGAGCGACACCGCGTCGATTTTCCCCTTGTGCTTCAGATCGGTCAGATACAGCGCAGCGTCGACGTAGCCCTTACTGCCGTAGTCGTTCCAGTACATCTGCACCATGTTCAGCTTGTCCACGCCCAAACGTTTCCTCGGCCGATCCACGTTCGCCTCCACCCACTCCTTCGTCATACCGTACTGCTCACGACCGACACAACATAGTTTAGTGAAAACCTTCACCTCATTCGCCCGTCTTCGTCCCGCGGGACTTTTTAAATACTCTCCGATGATCAACTCGCTCGGGCCGTATCCGCACGCCTCCGGTCCCGTGTCGAACGTCGTCACCCCGGCCTCGACGAAGCGCTCAAAATCCTCCACCGCGGCATCACCCTTCGTTCGGTCGCTGTCACGATCCCCCCCGTGTCCACCGCTCAACTGCCAGCACCCCTTGATCACGCGCGACGGCGTCAGGCGCGTCCCGCGCAGCGGCGTCTCCGTCGTCGGCACCGCGCGCGCGTTCGCCCGCGACGCGTCCACCCGCGCCTCGGCGCTTCCCGGCAACCACACCGACGCGCCGACACCGACACCACCCGCGAGCAGATCCCGCCGTCTCGTCTCGCGCGACGCGTCGTCCCCTCGGCGTCGTCGCTCGACGTCACTCGCCCGCGCGCGCGCGTGTTCGCCCCGCCGCGCGCGCGCGCGCGTCGTCACCGTCCGCCCTCGCCCGCGCGCGCCGCGCATGTCCACCGAGAAGACCGCCCCGGACGCGCCGATCCCGTGGTGGGACGCGCCCGTCGATCGACGTGGCACCGGATGCGCGGTGCGGGGAAATGTGCGCGCGCTGCTCGACCGACCGCACGGCGACGTGCGCGCGGTACACAGCGCGTCGGCGCTCCGGGCGATGGGCGCGCGCGAGAAAAAGTGCGTGGTGCGGTTCACCGCGACGTGGTGCGCGCCGTGCGCGCGGTTCGCGCCGAAGTTTACGGCGTTGGCGAGAGAATTCGATGACGTGGCGTTCGCCACCGTGGACGTGGACGCGTGCGCGGAGGACGCGCTGGAGGCGTTTCACATTGAAACGGTGCCGACGTGCGTCTTGGTGCGAGATGGAAGAGAGGTGTGTCGAGTCGTGGGCGTGGCGCATCATCGGCCGGCGCGGGCGATCGCGAGAGCGATCAAAGAGCATTTACTAGTCTAGGTCCGGTGCTACAAAAATGTCGACGCGTCCGTCCGGCGCGTCCACTAACGCCGGTTGTTCTCATGGGGAACCTTACCTGCATCGATGGAGATCATCCCAGCGGGCGCAGTCGGGATTTTTTTGAAGGCGCCGCCGCCGGCGCACGGGAGCAAGCACATCCAGAGCTCACCGCGCGCATCGAGCATCCACAAACTAGTCGCGCCGACGGCGACTTGGTTGATCGTCGTCGAGAATCCCGGGGGCAAAGGAATAGAGGACCAGCCGCCAACGCCGTCTTCCCGAGTCGTAAATAGTTGTAAACCAGATGTGTGCACAGCAAATGCGTCCATGTCGCCGACTTCTATTTGTTTGACTTGTCTCTGGTTTGCAAATGCCCACTGCGAGCCGGGACCGCAAGGATCGGGGCACCTGTGCACGTCGTCAAGGGAGTTCGTGCCCCAGAGAAAGCTACGACCGATGGTGACTTGAATGAGCCTCGATTCATCATATTTGCCAGCTTGTCGCCAATCGCCCGAGCCGTCGACCGGGCGCATCCAGATGCGGCCACCGGCTGAGTCCACAGTCCGCGTGACGCCGTAAACCGTTGAGTACCCGGCGTCGAAATCAACCACAGGCCCGTCCGGTGGATACGATAAATGTCGCGCGTTGTTCGTCGCTTCGTTCCAATTTGATCTGTCGAAGGGATTTAGGTCGACGTTTCTCGTCCATGCGAGCGCGCCGGTGTTGGAATCAAGCCCCCATGTGTTGAATTCGCCAGCGGAAACTTGCGTAAAGTGTCCTTTATACGGCCGCCAAGCATCCGTCGCAGCCTTCGATTCTTCGATGCCGAACACGTTATCGGCGCTTCCACCACTCGGATTTACCGTAGCGATGAGTTTGACCGTAAGTGGACACACCTTCAGGCACCCTGCGTACGTCGTCGAGATTTCATAGACGCCGCCCCGGCGCCGTGTCATGACCTCGCCCGCGCGCTTGGGAATCACTCGATTGTAATACACTCCGCCCCCCGCGTGCACCGCTGTCGTACACGTACTGTTCATCAGCATTCCTTTATGCGGTAACCTTGGGTTGCGCCCCAGTTCGAAGATCGTGTCTCCGTTGGCGTTGTGCAGCGCAAAGCCGTACTCGGCGCGGCTCGGTACCGTAAACTCCCCATTGAAAACGGTCGAGAAGCCCGAGCGAGTGAGCTTTCGTCCAAATTTTGCTTTGTGATGCACACCACCGAACTCATGCGGCTTTTCGCCCCTGAGTTGCAACGTCACGCCCGTGATGTCGTACTCGAAGAAATCCGCGACGGGGCTCTCGTCCATGACGCGCACCGGAATGCAACCGACATCGACCGCAAACGCGACGCGACGCCGACCAACGAGGCTCAACAGCGGCGTGACACCGTACGCGCGCACCAGCGCGAGAAGTACCGCAAGAGACGCGAACAAGACGCCGAACGCGCGACGTACTTTATCGGACGGGCGAAGTAACGGCGTGGTTTCGTCGCCGTTGAGCGACCCGACGTTGATCAACGACGACTTGGACGGCATCACGACCGACCCGCGTACGGCCTGCGAGCGCGAACGTCGAGTGGTGCGCGCTGAGTTGTGCGCTCTTGCCGGCGGCGGTGGTGCACGGTTGTGTGTGGATGAAAGGGTGTTACAACTAAAATTGGGTGTTGAAGTTGAAAACTTGTTCTACGCGAAGAAGTGAAGGAAGAGAAAGGCGTGGACGAGGGCCCAATACGAGAGTGCGGCGAAGCGAAGCGAGGGTTGGGTACGCATGACGCGGAAGAAGCGCACGAAGGCTGAGTCGCAGAACTCCATAATTGGTTGGAGCTGTTTCGGCGCTCGACCGGTGACTCGAGAGTCTCGCCATATGCGTATTGTTTTCGATGGAGACTCCGATCGGTCGCCGGATTCGATGTCGATCGCTTGCTGCGAAGTGTCGCTAGGTGTTCTTGGCATTCGGCGTGCGGCAGAGCTTGGCGGGGGGGATGACGACTGCTGCGATTGTTGCCTCGCGAGCGCGTCATTCGCCTCGCTCAGTTTCGCTGTCAGGTCGCTCTGCACCTTTTGCGAAGTCGAGAGATTCGCCTGTAACTCTGCCACGTGCTGTCGCAATCCATCCATCTCAGCCAGCGATGTGTGAGCTCGTTCTATCTCGCCTCGAAGCACGGTCACATCGAACTGCGCCTGCCCCAACGCGGCGTTGAGTTCACCAATCCGACCTTGAGCCTCTGAGGCTCCGCTGGCTTTTGTCGCTTCCAATTCTTCCGTCAATTTGGCGATCTGCGTATCCTTCTCTTCAACTGAGGCAGACGTTTCGGCGATAGCCTTCTTATCGTTGGCGATTTCCATCTCGAGATCAGCCAGGCGAGTCGTAGCCTGCGACAGCAATGCGGCTTCACTCTGCCAATTCTTGGCAAAGTCATCCCGCTCACTCATGACAAGGTTCAGACGTTTTTCGACGTCTTCTCGCCCGTGTGATAGTACTTCACATTCGGCAAGCACCGCCTTATGAGTTTCATGTAGCTCTGCAAGTTCCTCGGCGATGCGTCGCGCCTCCTCGTTCGAGCCTTCTGACAGCTGCTTAAAGCGTTCACGCAGCTGCGATGCCTCTTGATTCTTTGTAGCTATCGTAGCCTTTAGATTCTCCTTTTCGCTCTGCAGTTCGTTCATTTTCGACTCAACCCCTTGCAGGCGCTCGACGTACTCCTTCAGTTGATTTTGTTGCGCAGCCTTCTCTTGATCGACAGCGTCGAACTTGGCTTGAAGATTAGACAACTCGTCTTGGGCTTCAGCGCGCGCAGCGTCCACGCTCTTTTGAAGCTCGACGAATTCATCCTTTGTCATCGCCATTTCCGCTTCAATTGCGGACTTAGCAGATGCGTTATCTTTTAGGTCTTTTTCCAGAGCTTCTACGCGCGCGTCTGCTTCCGTCAACTGCTCTTGCAGAAGTCGCATTTGGGTGTCTCGCTCTTGCCCAGTGGACTCAAACTCAGTGCGAGACTTCGCCAACTCGACTTGTGACTTCTCGTGCAAACCTTTCACTTCTTCGAGTAACCGCGTAATTTCTTCATCTTTAGCCTTAAGACGTGCATCCATTGCACTCTTAGCCCCTTCGAGAGCCGCGATCTCGCCTTGGTAGCCATTAGCCGCTGTGGACGATTCCGCAATACGTTTGCCGAGTTGCTCTTTCTCAGAGGACAGACTCTCGACTTGACCTCGGAGCTGCTCGATCTCGGATTGCGCGTTCTCGAGCGAAGACAGTCGATGAGTGAGCTGTGTATTCTCTTCATCTCGTGTCAAGATAGTCTCTTCAGCTTGCGTTCTCGCTGAGTTCAACTTGGCGATCTCCGCAGACTGCTCTTGCAATCGAGCGTTGATCTCCACGAGCTGCGAGTGCTGAGCGCTCTTTTCGATTTCAGCGGCATCCAGCCGCGCACGAACGGCCTCAAGTTCAGACGACGAACCCCTTTGTGCCTTTTCAAGTGCTGATTTGACCTTGTTGACTTCGTCATCTTTGATTCGCAGCGTTTCCTCAGCCTCTTTCTTTGCTGCCTTGAGCGTCTCGATTTCTTCATTTGCCGTGCGAGCAGCATCGTTTAATTGCGCAATGCTCTGGGCTTGCGCAACTTTTTCCGCATTCGCGCTCTCGAGTTGCTCTCGCAAGGCTTGAAATTCATCGCTCGAGGACTTTGAGATCTCGTTGACGCGCAAAGTGAGCGCCTTAGCTTCTTCACCCTTTGCGGCGAGTTGAGTCTCAAGCGTTCGCTTTTCGGCATTGAGACTCTCCAGCTTTTCATTCATCTCTTTTAGTTGAGAATTCACCGCGTCAATCTCTCCGGCCTGCTGCGTCGCTTGCGCCTCCTTGTCTCGCTGCATCGCTTCGAGTTGTGACTGAAGGCGAGCCAAATCATCCGTGGACGCATCCCGAGCTTCTTCGACTTGGGCGGCGAGCGACTCCAACTCTGCGTCCTTCTCGAAAACGGTGCGTTCAGCCGTCTCAAGTCTCTCTGTAACGTCCTCTATTCGTGATGTGAGAATCATGCGCTCTTCGGAGTAGTTTTCATACTTCGCACGCTCCTCTGTGGCGCTCTCCTCGAGCTCTTTCATCGAATTCATCACCTTCGTCAACTGAGCGCTTAATTGCTCGATTTGCGCATCAGCGTCTGTCCGTGCCTTTACAGCCATCTCTTGCGCTTCGGACGCCATTTTCAGCTCTTTTTGCGCGTTCTTGATATTATCTTTGAGACTCTCTATCGTAACGTTCGCTGTTTCGAGCGCCTTGGCATCCTCCTTCTTTTCTTCCTCGAGCCGATGAAGCACTACGAGCTGAGCCTGCAGTTCCGTGTTCCGCACCTTCTCCTCGGCGAGCGCGTCGTCCATGCCATTCAGCGTCATGACCTTGGCGTTAGCTTCAGTCAACTCTTGATGAAGAGCCTCGAGTTTGGTCTCCGCCTCAGCTAGACTCCTCGAAACGTTTTCGTGTTCATCCTTGAGTCTCTTGCACGCCTCGGCGAGGCTCTGCGAGCGCTTTTCGTGCTCGGCATTCGCCACCCGAAGGATATCTATTTCCTCCTGAAGAGCCCTTTTCTCGGACTCAATGCGCTTACCCTTCTCGATTGCCTTCTTAACCTTCTCCTTGGACGTCTTCTTCGCCTCCTCTACCGCGGTTTTCATCTCCTCCATGCCCTGTCGAGCAGACTCAATGTCCGCCGTGGCACGAGTCAGTTCCTCAACCTTCACCGCGAGCTCAACCTTCATCGCGTCGACGTCCGCGTTGCTCCTCGCCAAAACAGCGTCCCTTTCACCGAGTGTTTGCCGAAGCCGTTCGATATCTGCCTCGACCGCCCGCGCGGTGTCCAGCTCGCCCTCCAACCGAGCGATTTCCTCGCGAAGTTCACTCCGCTCGACCTTGAAAGCCTCTCGCAAAGCCGCGATCTCGCGCGCATACTCCCCAGCGACCTCCCCGGCGATCTTATCCACCCCCAGCGCGTCCACGGCTTCCTCCACGCTCGCAAAATCCTCTCTCGCCGCGCTCAAGCGCGCCTTTGCGTCCGGTGCATCTGCCGAAAACAAAGCTGTGTCTCCATCTTCTCTCGAAATCGCCTCCAACGCCGCCTTCGCGCCCGCTCGATCGTCTCCACCGTCGACACTTCCCGTGGCCACATTACCGGCGCCCATCGACGCCAGTTTCGCCTCCAGCTGCGCGGCGAACCCGATCTTCCCGTCGTCATCGCGTTCGAAGACTTTTTCGCCGTCGACGCGCTTCTTCCCGTCGTCGTCGACACCGCGCGCGGGCGCGTGAAGCGACGCTCGCAGGGCTTTACGTCTGCGGAAAGCCTCGAGCTTTTCGCGTCCTCGATCGAGATCGCGCGCGCGCGCGTCGTCTTCGGGCATGCCGCGATGTGCGGGCAAACGGTTGAAAAGTTCACTCTATCCGGAACGCTGGACGCTTCGCTCTTGCATGTTTCGTGCGCGTAATTTACAGACCTAGCTCCTTGACGGAGAGGAGTTTGGTGGTGAGACCGTAGACGTAGCCGTGGGCGTCGGCGACGACGGCGCGGGTGCCCTCAGGATTGAAGGCGGCGGCAGTCACGGCGGCTTCGCGCGGGAGCCGAGTGGCGGCGCGCGGGCAGGGAAAGGAGACGACGGGTGAGAACGTGCGGACGTCGTGGACGTACACGGCGTGATCGCACGTGGTGACGAGCCAATTCGGTTGGTCGTCGATGATTCGACACGCCAAGGGAACGCCTGGAGGTAGGTGGAATCGAGCGATCGCCATCCTGGAGCGTTCGTCCCAGAGTTTGATAAAGCCGTCCGCGTCAACCGTTGCGAGGCCTCTTGGGGTGTGCGCGCAGGCGATGATGGACGCGTCAGAAGCGATGAACTCGTGGACGGACGTTTCTTGGTTGAGGTCCCAAGCTTTCACGATGGTATCGCCGCCACTGGAGTAGAGCCTCGAGGAGTTGGCGTCGGCGCACAAGCCGCTGACGCGCGCATTGTGAGCGACGAGCTTCTTCATGAGAGTTGGCTCTCGACCGCTCACGTCCCACAAGCAAACCGTCCCGTCACCACCACCTGTGACAAGCGTTCCCGCACCCACGTCGGTCATTGAGTACACGCCGAGATCGTGCGCTGCGACGTAATTACTCCTGCTCCACCCCCAGGATTGAGCACTGAAGTCCCAAGCAGTGAGGGAGCCATCAGATCTACCAAAGTACACCATCGAGTCGGATCTCTCCGAGTGCATCGTCGTAATGGAAGACGAGCTGAAAGCGCGCGTTTTTTCAACGGCTTCGAATTCCAGAGGTTTTACATCCGTCTTCAATTTCCAATCTTTGGAATCCATAACTCTTACTGAACCGTCGTGAGCAGCGGTGATGAAATACGAGCCGATGCCTTGCAGATCGAAGTGACAAGCCGCGGTCACCCTATCATAGTGAACCGCGGAGGAGCTATCACCATATTCCAAGCGTTCGTCTTCGGCCTGTTTCTGTGGGGCTCGGCGTAGTATGCCCGAATCTCGAGGAAGAGCTCCCGCGGATGCCGTTCCTTTGCGACCACACCAACTCCAGAGACGAAGGTTGCCGTCTGCGCCCCCTGTGATGACACAGCTAGAATCTGGCGAGATATCTGCCGTTCTGACGCGACAGGTGTGGGCCATTGAAGTGACGAGATTCCCGGTGAGTGAGCTGTGAATCGTACAGGTACGATCGAGAGATGCCGATATCAACAATTTGCCGTCGCGGGTGAACGTTATGGCGGTGACTGGTCCGTCGTGCGCATTGATCAACCCAATGTGCTTCGCATTTCGCGGTTCCCACATCATGATGCTTGTATCGACGCCACCGCTCGCAAATAAACCGTTCGACGAGCACGCGGTGCACGTAACTTCACCAAGATGTCCGCGCAGTTCCAAAGCAACTGCAGGCGGCTTCGTGCCGAGCTTCTTATTTCCACGTGACGCAGCCGTGTGACTTCCTAAAGACGAGCGTGCTGTCGCCATGCCAGAATACGCGTTTTCCCCTTTCGGCAACAAGTTTGCGACTTGAAAGTGGTCGGTCCCATTCTTTCCGCCTAACGTTCCCGCTTCGAGCGTGAAGAACCACAAACGCATGATACCCGTCGTATTCGCCGTGATGAGGTAACTGACATCCGGGGCGAGTGATATTGATGTGATCGGTGTAGTACTTTCGGTGTTGACCACGTATCGCAACGGGTATCCGGGCGAGCATGACCAGCATCGAAGCTCAGCTCCTGCGATGCTGAACAATTCGTTCGCGGAAATCGCCACCGCAAGTGACGCAATCGGTTCGGCGTGACCAATCAACACGTTGCAATCGCGACCCAAGCTGTCGTCCAAACGCCATATACGAATGCTTTTGTCTTTTGAGCCGGAAGCAACGAATACAGACGATCGCGCGTTTCTGATGGAGTCGTTGTTGATCAATGCGAGCGCCGTCACCGCACGCTTGTGGCCGATGAACCGGGCAACGCTGGAGCCACGATTCGCATCCCAAACCTCCACAGCGCCACTCGCGTAACCCACCATAAAACTTGAATCATCCAACATACGTACACACCTGACGTCGCCCTCGCGTTCGTATCCACTCTTCATCGACACGCACGTGAGAGCCTCACACGGTCTGTTCCCCCAGCACAACATCATGCGCCCTAAGCCACAGTACTCGCGGATAGCACTTTCGCTCGCATCGACGATACCTGCTCCACTCAGTCGACGCGTCGCTGCATCTCCGACTTCGTTGAAAAACTGTTGACGCAGAAATTTAGGGGTGACATGCAGCGTTTCGAGATTTCGCCAAAGAGCCTCCCGAAGTGCAATCAAGTCCTCTGTGATGTGAAGTTTATCAGAATGCGTTGCGTAAAACTGAAACGCCTCTATGTGGAAGCCCATGCAATGCGAGTTGAAAATCGCCTGCTGCCGTAGTCTGCCGTCGATACCAGACGGGGCCCCAGGGACATCGATAACTTCTTCACTTAGCGCAGCGTGATGTGAAATCCACATCGGGCGCTCTGGCCCACACGTAAAGGGAAGAATTCTGTTGAAATCGTCTACGAGACTTTGTCCCTCCCCTATTTCCAGCTTTGCCTGTAGAAATTCGAGGTCGGTCAGGAGATCGACGAGTTGATCAAACATTCTAGCTTGCGTATAGTAATACGGCAGGTGCTTGAGAATGTTCATCGTCCTCTCGTGCTCTTTGTGCAGCGCGTCGCTGTCGATAATCCCATCAGAGTCAACTTTGTAAGGATCATTACCTATGAGGCGTTGCGCTTCGATGGTCGCGAGCGACTCTAGTAACCGTGAACCGGAAGCCTTTGCACCATAGTATTGCGCTAACATTTGATAGACCCGTCTCTTGTCTTGTTCCTTTGGTGCATATCGCTCCATGATGACGTCGCACGCAACCTCAGAGTCCACCTGAATCTTCCCGTTGGGTGCCGAATACACGCCACTCGTTGCGTCCCCTCTCAAGAGGTACCGCATCGACCAAAGAAGTCTTGGGATCGTGTGAATCAATAGATCGTTGATTCTTGCCGTGCGGCGTACCTCTGACATGATCAAGTGAGCGATATCTTCGCGAGTGAGACAGTTGCAAGCACAGACGATCGCAGGAAGAACACAGCTAAGCAGATTTTGCGTCGCAAACTTTTCCACACCGTCTAACAATTGATGGTAGTGATCTCGTTCGCGTTCTGGAAACGCGGCCAGAAGTTCCGAGAATTTGGTGTCATACGTATCCTCCATGGCGATTCTGGTGCACGTCAAGTACATACCCCGCACATTTGCTGCACACGATTTATCCATGACTTGCATCATCATCGTGTTCGACACGTGTATTCCTAACGGCTGTAAATACGTTCTCGCGTAATGTTTGCGATCATCATACTTGAGATTACCCAGAATGATCGAATTTTTCAGGCCGAGCGGTGCGGCGGACGCAAGCGCGATGTGTTGCAGCTTTGCCATTCGATGGCGATACTGTGTGATGAGATTGTAATCGAGGGTTGCCATCCTTCTGTGACGATGTTGTTCGCCAGTATCTTTCTCGAAAGCTGGCGGCAGATCTACGCGACGTATACCAAGGAAGAACTGTACACCGATAGGAATAGTCGATTCATGTGGTAGCCACGCCGATGCGCTCTCGTTATCCACCATGTGAAGCGCATCGATGAAAATGATAACACGTCCACGCGCGCGCGTAGCGCGGTAAAACATATCTAGAAGAAGCGCCCGAACGTTTTCCAGTGACGCTGGTATGCGATCTTCAAATCCAAGTTGGTCCTTGATTTGTTGCACTATATTTCTAAGGATTTGCGTCGGGGTCGGGTGCATCCGACCTTCGGTGGCGCCAAAATCGCTGACGACGACGACTTTATCCGAAATTTTAATGGATTCCGATCCAGTCGTAAACAAAGACCGGGAAAATCGAGCCAAATGCTGCAACATACTCGTCGTACCGGCGCCAGATAGACCTTGCACGACGCTCACACTCGGTCGACCAGTCTTTATTGCTTTGATCAGAGCCTTTTCTTGTGATGCACGATGGTAGTAAAACGGAAGCCGTTCACCAATCGAGAGCTCAGGTTCGATCGCCGTCTTCTGCGCAATTGCGTCCCTCAACGGTTCCGCGGGGAATTCAAGATCTAATCGAGTCCACACATCTTGTAGTAACGTGCTCTGGAATTCATCCAGCCCAGACGTTTGCGGTATCGGCTTGACGTTAAATAGGTTGTTTTCATCCGCGAAGTTCATCGGTGGAGTGAATCGAGCGGAGTATTGGCTAACACAAACATCTGTGTGCGCGTACAGCGTCGAAAGAAGCGAACCAATACGCTCTCGGTGTGCAGGGTCCGTGCTCGTTAGATAGTCCACGTACTCCGCGTCCTTCTGAGCTCGTAACCTCTCGTAGAATAATTTGCTTGGAAAATACGCGAGGATATGCTGCGATCGCAGTGCCTCTTCTCGTTCACTCGCGGTTCGGATTGCGTTCCGCTCACCCACCGTGAGATGTTGCAAGGACTTCATGACTTCTTCCTGGGATGGCTCTTCCAACGGATCGTACACGCGCAGCAAATGGCCCACTTGTAGCTCGACTCGGCTGTAATCATTCGGTGCAGCGCGCAGCCAAGTCATGGTTTCTACTGCTTGCGTTTGAGCTTCCATCCTCATGTCTTGGGAGTACTTATGCAGCCTAACGCTCGAGTACCAATCGATCTCATGTTTTGCCGAGAGCAGCACGATGAAGATGCCGCCGGTTCGCATCGCGTGCCCCAGCGCGTTAAGCGCCTGTCCGGGACCGGCATTCGGGGAATCATCCTTAAGATCTACGAGAGAAAGTCGAATTCGCCTCTTTCTGCACCGGTGCATCAGACGCGGAAAAACATGCTCGCGAAACGCGTTCCTCTCCGCCATGGTCCCCGGCATGGACACGACGTACATCGTCACCTGTCTAAACCCGTCGTCTCTCGTTTCGCACCTATTCAGCAGCCCGATGGCGTGCGGCGTCATACGCTTCGATGGTAGCGCGTTTGTCTCTTGTAGATCCAGATGCTTGTTGTGCGCTAAATAGTGTCCGACTCGAGCGCATTGGAAAACGAGCACTCCCTCTGCCCGCACGCGCCGACACATCTCTAACAACTGCGCCGATTGCAACGCCGGAGGCACCGCCACGATCACCGCCCCTATCTGATTAGCCAATCGAACAAATCCTAATTCATCTCCAGACATGTATTCCACCTTTCGCAGCTCCCACCCTTTCTCTCTGAGCTCGGCGCACACCTCCTCAGTCCGCGCCCGCGTCTCCTTCGCCTGCATCGCCGCCCGCCGCAGCGCCCCCGCGTACTCCCCCTCGCGCCATCCCTTTAGTCGAATCCGATCCAAATTCGCATCATCCTCAACGCTCGGCACCAACACTATCGCTTTCTTCGACATGCGCTCGACCGAGACGCTCGCGCCGTCCGAGCGTCGCCGCTTCCACTCGCTCGGGTGCGGCCCGCGTCTCGAGTACGGCGTCTCCACCGTCGCCGTCGAGACCTCCGCGGTCGTTAAAGACGCCATCACATCCGTCTCGATCGCGTGCGTCTTCACGCGCGACGCCAGGGCGTCGATCCGCGACTCACCGCGCGGGAACGCGTCGTTCGCGTCGAGCGCGGTCATCGAGCCGCGGGCGTCGTTCGTCGCTGACGCGCTCGCGCGCGTGGCATCGGCGAGCGCGTCGACGCGCGTGGGATGTGCGCGCCCACGTCCATCGGGCATCGACGCCGTGGGACGAACAACGTCCGGGAGGCGCGTCTTCGGCGCGGTGAAGTGTCGAACGGTTCGTTACCACTGAGGACTTTGGGAGCGCGGGGGACGTTTGGGAGCGCGGGGGACGTTTGGGAGCGCGAGAGTACGACTGGCGCGCGCGGTCGGTGTGGACGTGCATAAAGTGAAGCCGAATAGATAGCAAGCAACGATAGCTAATAATAAGCGTCTCACGCGACACGGACGTCCGTCGGGCTTACCAGCCTCCACCGTTTTCGAGGAGGTTGGCGAAGAAGTCAGCCGGGGCCTTGCCCTTGAGCTCGGCGCCGGCGTCGGTGCCGGCGGCCAAGAGACTGGCGGCATCCCAAGCACCCTCACGAGTGGTCTCGAGGACTTCCTTGCCGTCCAAGGAGGCGATCAAACCGCGAAATTGCATCTTGCCATCAACGTTGTGGCAGTGCGCCGCGATCGGGGTGCGGCAAGAGCCATCGAGGGCGGCCAAGAAGGCGCGCTCGCCTTCAACCGCCATGCGCGTATCCTCGTGGTTGAGCTTGGCCAAAAAGGCGAGCTGCTTGTCGTCGCCGCCGCGGCACGTGATGCCGATGGCGCCTTGCGCGACGGCGGGCAACATTTGCTCCGTCGGGATGATGAGCTTGGCGTGTTGCGCCAAGTCCATGCGCTTCAAGCCCGCGATGGCGAGCAAGGTGCAGTCTACGACTTCCTCCTTGAGCTTACGAATGCGCGATTGCACGTTACCTCTAAAGTTCACGCACTTGAGAGTCGGGTACTTGTACAGGAGCTGCGACTGGCGGCGAAGCGACGCCGTACCGACGACGGCGCCCTCCGGCAAGTCATCCAAGGAATCGTACTTGAGGCACAAGAACGCGTCTCTCACGTCTTCGCGCGGTAACATGCACGGTAACACCATCCCTTCCGGCAAGTACGTGGGTACATCCTTCATCGAGTGCACCGCGATGTCGATGCGTCCGTCGAGCAGAGCGTCGTCCAGCTCGCGCGTGAACAAACCCTTCCCACCGATATCCGCCAGCGGCTGGTCCAAAACCTTATCCCCGGTCGTCTTGATAATGCAAATCTCCAGCGCCCCATCCTCCGCGAGCTCCGGGAAATTCTCCTTGAGCAAATCACGCGTCATGTACGCCTGCGCGAGCGCCAACGGCGACCCTCGCGTCCCGATGCGCACGATCGGCGCATCCACCGCCGCTCGCACGACAACCCCACCCCGCGCGCGCGTCACGCATCGCGCGCGCGTGTCACCACCGCGCGGCACCACCGCGCGTCGTCCCGACACGCGCGCGCGCGCGCTCAACGCGCTCGACATCGTCCCGATCGTCGCTCGCACCCTATCGATAAGGCGACGCGATGTCCCCGGGTCTCGATGTCGTCCGTCCCGTCCTCGATGCGTTCGAGCGACGCGCGCGCGCGCGTTCGGAGTTCGCGAGCGAGCGGTGCGCGGTGCGTCGAACGCGCGCGCCGAGGTGTGCGTCGCCGTCGCGCGCGCGGCGTCGAGGGTTGGATGTCGCGCCACGGATCGGGTCGGGACCTCGACGTGTGGGCGAACAGTGTCGCGCGCGTCCGCCCACGCGATCGCGCGCGTCGGGAGATCTCGAGATCTTTTCGAGGGGGATGGATGTGTGTACCCCGTCACGTTCCCGGGTCGTGTCCCGTTATGTCGTGTGTACCCTGTCATCTCGGTGGGGCACGACCCGTCGTGTGTGTGTACCCCATCATATGCGTGGGTCAGGGCTCAGAAGTGACGCACCGTGTGTACCTCGTCGTGTCGAGGGGTCGTGAACGGTCGATGGCGACGGGACCGCGCGCGCGCGCGCCGGGAGATCGCCGCGCGATGGATCGCTTCGACGCGACGGGCGCGCGTCGCGGGCGCCCGTCGCGGGCGCGCGCGATCGCGCGCGCGGTGCTCGCGTCCGTCGCGGTCGCGGCGTGGCGCGCGCGCGCGTGCGAGGG